TTATGATTTATATTGATTATCTGTTTATGCATTTTCCAACATGCATATGACAATATATATTTCTTTACATTTTGTATATTAAGAGCAACGACAAAATATTTCAAACAATTACTTCCAATACATATATATATAGAGAGAGATAAATAAATAAAACCTACATACATATATAGACAGACAGGTAGATAGATACAAGAGTAACTATCAAAATAACAAAATTTAATAAAACAAGAATTAATTCTCACATCAACAACAACAAAATAAGAAAATGAAGCAGACATCACTAAAACAAAATAAAACAGTTACTGGCACCAAATTGAAATTCACTGAAAAAAACGTAAAATTATATTATTTCTTCGCCTTACACTCCACAAAAGGCGTCTAACCTTTTCAACTATACGGTCCATCGTCCACCCATACAGTTCCTCATACGACATAATCTTGAGGGGGATTCCATACTGCTGCTCATTCCGCTTAACTGTCTCCAAACTGTCATCTCGGTAGCCTTTAAAAAATTATGTAAAAAGTTCAGCACTCTACAAAATACAAAACTGGTTTCAAAAATATATAAGCAGGATGTAATGTTCAGGGTAAAAGTTGATTAATCAACCTGACATTTTAAAAGTATACTTTTGATATATGAATAATAATAAAAAAAAAAGAGGCTCAAAATAAAATCAGTTCACAAAATCCCAAAGGATCATACTTTATGCTTCATCAACTGGTTTCAAAACTCATAAAATATACTCATAAATACACTTTAAATATTTACAAGATGAGGTATCTTGGCCATTTGTCAGATGGTTAACCACTGTACAAGCCTTCAATGACTCACCTGTAATACCCTCATCAATGGACAGGAGAACTAACTTCAGTCCATAATTATAACGCTCATTTAATAACTTCATAACATATGCCAGAACGGTTGAATCTTTTCCTCCTGAAACAAGATATAAATATCTTTCTTGATGACTGCTAACAAACATCAAGCATCAAGATTTACTAATAAAAATCATAATAGCAGAATTTAAAAGTATAATGAAATATTAAATAGCCACTTTCCTCCCACAGTATAGTTTCAAATGGATTGTCATAGTCATTGGAAATCCTTTTCTTAAAAAAAGGAAAGAAAGGAAAAAAAAAGTATACTACTAGGGGCTGTTAAAATCTCTTTGCTGATCCCTCGGGTATTGAATAGGGTGCTGCATTCTTAACAACCACAAAACAAGGGAAATATTTACTTTTGTTCTATTTCTTCAATAAGAACAATTGAAATGCAATATACGACTAAAGACAATGACTTTATTCCTGATAATAATGAAAATAATAATAATAATAATAATAAATTAATTCTCATAACTTTTATCAACATCCTTGGATTTTGATACTGACACCTATTCCTGAAAAATCATGAATTTCATTACATCTACCTGAGGCTGCAATGGCTACATAGTCTCCTGGATTGAAGAGTTTTGCTGCTGTGATTGTGTGGTGAACTTCCTCCTCAAAGGCCCAGAAAAAGCATTCTTTACACAATGCATCGCCTGTTTTGGGACGCTGCAAAGAGGCAAAGGATAAAATAATCAGTGACATCCCGGACCCATATTCAATTGTAAACATTTTATAGCACAAAATATCAATCAACATTTAGAAAAATAAAGAAATTAAGAACATCTACAAAGTGTACCTTTAATACAGCATTTTTCCCACAGCCTGTGTTGCAACTTATGACCATGATTCCTTGTCACTCTGAAAAGAGCACATGTTAATAACATGGGTCTGAAGAATACCTCTAATTTTTTAAAATAATTATACAAAAAAGATTCTGAAGCTTCCTTTTCAGAAATAATGCACATTTCCCTTTCATTCTCTTCTATTACAAAATAATTTGAATATACAATTAATTTATACAAACCATACTTTACTGTTTAGTTTATACTTGATAAAAAAAAAAAAGAGAGAAACAGGTAACACTAGAGAACAATATATCCACAGCAAGATAGAGCTGAAATCTGGAGCACCAAGCAGAGTCACGCTGTGAGTGACACTTTCTGCAATGTTTTCCCTTAATATGTGGCATGACCATTATGTCTGCAAATTATTTTTTTGTACCAACAACTACAACTTTTAGCCCTCAAATTTTCAGTGGTAATTTTTCAGAATACCTTTCTATAACCAATCGCAATGATTCTCATCTCAATGGATTCCTCTCACCCTCTACTATCCAAATATATCAAAATTATGCCACAAAAACTCTCCTCATTAGCAAAAATCTTGGCCCCAACAGCAGGAGACGGTTGAAAGGTACCATAGAAATTGCAGGGTAAAATATAAATAATATACACAGAATCTGTATTGTCTAATGAAGTTGACTATGCCCCCTGCAGCCCCCTTCTTGGGGGGATGCTACCCCCCAAACCCCTGCCTAGGATAACAAAGAATCTCCACATATTCACAGCATGTAGGGCATATGACCGATAAGCAGGATTGCCTGATGCTGAGTCTGTCTGACGGTCTATCCTGTCATATATACAGGGAAGATTCTTTGTATTCCTGGGCAGCAGCCCCCCATGCATGGTTGCTGGGAGCTGCACCCTCTGCACTCAGCAGTTTTTGCAGTTTACCCTGCAATATCCCTGGTACCCTTCATGCCCTCCCCTGTTATCAGGGCCTAGAATGTAGGAATTTGGGGGGTTCTGCAGTATAATTCCTACATACATGTGCACTAGAGGGTGAGAAGAACTCATTTATATCAAAATAGTTGCAATCAGTTATGCAAAAGTATTGTGAACAATTACCTGGGTGGATTCTGCAGCATATTTCCTACATATTTCCTACATATATGTGTACTACAGGCTGAGAGAAATCCATCAATACCAGAATCATTGCAATCAGTTAAGCAAAGGTATTATGAAAAATTTCCTTTTCAAGTTTACCTTGCTTAAGGCCTTTTTTGTAACATTTCCAAAACCCCTTTCACTTTGATACACTCTGATACATGTTTGCCTTTTATGCATACATTTTTGTAACCTGTTAAAACATCTTTTCATTTTGAACCAAGCTGAAGGCAAACATTTTGATACACTCGGGCCCATCTGAGCGTGATATTTTTCATAAGTATTTCACATAGTCTGAGACAGGAATTTATATTTTCATTAATTATGAATTGCATCGTAAGTTTCTTAATATAACTTTTTATTGTAAAGGTGTATAATATGTTTGTGCCTTTTTAGCAGAACATATCGAAAACCTTAAGCAACATCCGTATTTTATATGAAGTAGAATATTTGTAATACAAAAATATTGTAACTGAATATAAGAAATACTTTTAAACTTTCCATGGCCTTGCAAAGTGAAGAAGGGTGTGTATAAACAACATAAGTTACAGAGTTGTCAGAGTTGTCAGGTACATTTTCTGTTTTATTTGAAGCTTCCACAATGTTATGCTTGAAATTAAAAATCAAACGAATACACTAAGTATTCTAACCCTTTACTGACAGATGGGAGAAAAAATTTTAAACTCTACGTTCTGGAGATTAATGGCATCGGGCCAACTTTGAGTGCAGGAGTTCGCTAGATCAAGCCGAACCCCTGGCTCATAGCGCTCTGACACGTCGCATGGGGTTAATAGTTTTCTATTTACTTATTCATTTGAAATAAAATAAAAAATGACTTTTCTCGATACTTTGTGTGTCAGCACAACTTTGATAATATGAGGTTTTGGGATGAATAAAAAAGGCCTTCAATGTGGCCATACTGTAAAGATTAACCCATAATTCAAATTCCCAATAACTTTATAATTTATTTCCACACCTGGATGCCCTTCTTGATGCCAACCCAAATGTGCTCTTAGCCTGGATCGATACCTAGAAACTGAGCAATATAGTCTACACATGTTCCCATCCTTTTATCCTTCCACTTCAAAAATACGTATATAGGAAAGTCAAATCAAGCTTAAGTATTCCTGAAAACAAATATATTAGTCCTGATCCACAGTAGCATGTGATCCATCATTCCCTTTACATTCCACATCCAGTCATACCGATTTACCAACGTATATGGATCCAGGCCTACCTACGACCCGATCTAGAATCCCGTCGATGAAGCAGACTTGCTGAGAATTTCCAAAGGAGCAGAAGGAGGAATACTGATCTTCTTCTTTTATAGGGTTTTAGACTATATAGTAGTTTCCTTCTTCTTCCTCTTCTTTCTTCTTTCTTCTTTTATAGGGTTTTAGACTAAATATATAGTAGTCTATACTCCCTGAAATATTTATCACTCCTGTAACGTGTTGTAAGCCGCCTGTCATCTGCTGAGTGTGAAGACAAATACTTCTATGTATTAACTATTTAATTTTACCTTATTTATAAGTGTTTTTCTTATTTCTTGTTTCTTTATTTTATTTTTTTGTTAGTGGCTAAGAGTCGTGAGCTTACAATATCTGGTATTTAAATCTCAATAATGATTATATTTTATTTGTGTATTTTATAAATTTAGTCTTTTTTCGATTTGTTTACCTTCGCATTTGCTAAAAGCACATCCGTGTAATAGGAAAAGTTAGTTATACATTTCCTCAACTGAGAATATTTTGATCGTCATTTATTAGCTTTTTCTTCAAAATCAGATTTTATTGCGAGTATTAATGTATTGATAACTTTTTAACAAATTTATATTAATGGAATCCAACCTCAACATGATATCGATAATAATGAAAAATATTTCTTTCAAAGAGCATCTCAAATAGTACAGCACTTTTTCGTTAAATTCCTATGGTATTTTTTTTACTTCGGTATCTATTTTTTTTCATCATTTGAGGGAGCATGACAAGCAATGGACAGCTATATATGTATATAAATTTGATAATACAGCTCATCCAATACCCTAATATAAAAAGTTCAATTCCTTTATAAAAGGTTCTGATTCGAATAAAAGAGAACAATGTCGTCTGTCATTTGTTTTCTCGACAGTGATAAATGTAAACACTTCGTCGTCTATACATTGAGACCGAAAGCCCCGTGAGTCGAGTTTGAGAAGAAAACACTACGAGTCCAGGGGATTATGGCGGCCAATTTTAAGGTGTTGACGGAAGATTCCCAATTCCAGACGGAGTTGAATCAGGCGGGAGGCAAGCTTGTGGTGGCTGATTTCACGTCGGCCAGGTGAGGAGCATGGGGGTGATAAAATGAATGTCATACTTGTAGGCCTAGTCTATTTTGGTTTGGTCTCGGGCTCTCATTTATTCCTTTTTTATTTTATTCCAGATAAATTATATAGGTAATAAAGGATTATAATCTTGTATATATTATGCAAAAGTGTATCCAGTTGAATTAATACAGGCAAGAATCTTTAAATTTGTTATAAAATCATGTCATTTTAAACTGATATTCTCATGTTTTTCTCTCGTGTAGTTGTTTGGTATAAGTTCTGGCAAGGATATTAATCTCTAACTTGTAAATATTTTCTATTGGGTTAATGTTACCGAGAGCGACGCACGCAGATAGAGCAAAATGGACATTGCCATCTTGTAGAGCATCAAAAATAGAGTGGGAATCAATACATCTAAATCTGCAGCGGCCTCATATTTACCGGGAAATGACAAAAATAGGCTCTGCATGGCCCCGCTCTGAGACTAAGTCCCCATCCATGTTTACCTTGCCAGGACCAAAACAAAAGTGACGCGTAACTCATTATTGCGATCTATCAAGTAGTCCATGTATTACTACGCGCTTGTGAAAACGACTATTTTGTAATTACCAGTGTCTGTTTTTCCGAATCCATGCATTTAATGAATTCTTTTACTTTTATTATACTTCTTTTACGTGTTTTGGTAATTATTTACACTATTTTGCACAATATCCCTGTGCGCATGTGCGCTTTTCCACCGGGAGATTTGACAGTCCGTCCGCCGCCATTCGTCCCGAAACACCGGTGGGAAGTGTCACATTTTAGGTGTGTTGCGTCGATTCTGGGTCATTTTTAAAGCCATATAGTGGATATATAGAACCAATAGATATTAGTGTCTATCTCAGCCTGATACATGAGCCCAATAAGTGCCCCAAATGTCGAAAAAAGTGATTAGAAACCAAGGAATTCGGACCATAGACGGAAGGCAAGAAAAGTTCGGTCTTTCGCTATATAAAGGTATGTGGTTTTACCCTGGGGGTTAAGAGCAGAGCCCCTTGGCTAGGGAATATATAGATCGTATTTTATTAAAACCACGGGGGTCCAGGGGGCGAAGCCCCCTGGCTAGGCACACACAGTACTACGGGGGTCCAGGGGGCGTAGCCCCCTGGCTAGGCGCGTATAATTAGGCTAGGTTAGGTTAGGCTAGGTTAGGTTAGGCTAGGCTAGGTTAGGTTAGGCTAGGTTAGGTTAGGCTAGGTTAGGCTAGGTTAGGCTAGGTTAGGGTAGGTTTATATATTACTAGGGGGTCCAGGGGGCATTTAATAGCACGGGGGTCCAGGGGGCAGAGCCCCCTGGCTAGGGAATAAATAGATCGTAGTGTATAAATTTCACAGGGTTAGGTTAGGTTGGTTTATTGGTTAGGACGTATTGTACGATTACCACAGGGGATCTGGATTATCTGAAATCCCGTAGATTTTTACCGATGGCTGGGTTTGATCCCCGTAGAGTTTTTCGAAAATTGGCGCGCCGGCCCGTAGAGTTTCAAATGTGGCGGGGATGTCCGTAGAGTTTTCACAGGCCGATTTTCATCGTTTTTTGTGCTTTTCGGGACGGAAATTTGGCTCGGGTTTTCGAAAAATCTACTTTTTTACGTTTCTTAAATCACTTTCTTCGATTTCTGCAGGTTTCTATCGACATCCAGCGCCATCCATTACCCCCCCCCCCTTCAACCCCCGGTTCCCCACGCATCCCCCAAGATCGTTGGGTAGAGGAAACTTCAAAAAAATCTCATTTTGAAACTCAGTCTCTGAGAGGGGGCGTCGCTCTCGGTAACAATTACCTTCTATTGTATCATGAACCTCACCTTATAATTTCAGAATTATTATAATTTAGGACAAGTATTCAATGAGGCTCAACTAAAACTCCTGCTTAGCTGTACTAATGGAGATTTAGGGATTAGGCTTGGTTGGTAGGTCTGGTTAGCCCCAACATGTAGACTCTGACAAGGCAGAGCTTGTAGACATGTCTGGTGATTTATCTTCAATTAAAGAACCAACACAAGTTGTCTTGTGAGAGTGCATGTGGCATAGATAGGTCTGCCTAAGCTTGTAGCATGGAAGCTATGGCATAGTTTGGCACTGCAACACTCAGGTAAGATGTTAGACCTGGAAGAATCATATAATGTGTAGTTATAAGGAATAGTTCCATTTTGAATGCTACTTTAATGTATTTACCCTTTTTTCTATTAATTATATTACCCATGTTCTTTTAAATCCACTACAAACATGATATTTATCCAGGAAGGCCTAAAGTTATCGGAACAGTGGTGCAATCACTGGCACTTTTGTGCCCTTTGTGCTCTCTTATGTCCTAGCAAGGTAGAGCCTGGTTCCTTAATATGCATAATGGTCTTTGATGGAGTGGTGATAAGCCATATCAATGAAGACATGGGTCAGTGGGTGTATTGGAATTTTTTTTTATTAAAAAAAGAGGCTACTTTTCATCTCTATGCTCCTAAACATTGTGTGCAAGATCTTGGCAATTTATCATCAAATTGGGAGCTAAGCCAAGAAATCAGTTACTATTCACAGACAAAATGAGTTCAGAAGGAGCAAATCAAACAGGTTGCTGGATAGATATGCCAATAAAATGCCCCTTTCTTCTAAAAAATGGTCTATGTATATGCATAGAAAAAATTATACCTAATCTAGTGCTGGTTGGGATGACACATACATAAGTGCCATGCCCACTGTAAGTTTAGTGTATTAATTGTGTTTAAAAATAGATGACTCTACAAGTCTCATGGATGGCTCTAGAAGTGCTTAGTCACCAAAGAGTCAATTACTAGTCATACCAGTCTCACCCTTCTGAAATATTCTTCTTTTTTGTTATATATTCCTATTAGTTAAAGCTATTATCATAATTATAATGTCAGTAATGATAACAACAGGATCAATATTAATATTATTAGAAAAAGAAAAATTGTATATATTTGTTTTATAAATTTGCAACAAAAATGCATTTATTAAATTTAAGTACTTTATACTATTCCAACACCAAATATTTATATACTTTTATTTTTGTAGATAATTAGAAGCTATTTATTTTTCTTCAATTATTATGTTTTTTTTATGTGCATATTACTAGAGATATCTACTGATTTGAATTAATCTTAGTTTATATATGATTTAGAAGCAAAGGAATTCTGTGGGTGTTGAAGAGAAATGTATAATTTTTTTCCCCCAATTGTTTTTTCCTCAAAGTTCTGCTTTCATTTTGCAAAGCCCACTTATAGAAAATATTGTGTATGTATGACTAAACAGTACCCTATAATTTTCCAGTATTTCCATGTGTGACAGAGAAAAAGATTAGCCTGTAAAAGATAGAGGGAGAAGTTAGCCTATAAATGATAGTAAAGAACATAAAAGTACATAAAATAGTGACCTTCTATTCCTTTGAAAAGAATAGATAGCTTACATAGGCACTAGATCATGTTAAAATCTTGTTTTATGTTTCCAGAGTTTTCACCACTCTCTTCAAGAGCATGTATAAACTGAATAGTGTTAGCTCTATTCACAATTTTTAGGGGGACCTTTAGTATTCTTGTGCAAAAAATTAGAAATGCCAAAGGAACACAGAAGTTCTGCTGGCTCTCAGAACACTCATTCTGTCACAGATACTGTATAGTAGAATTGCATATAAATACATTCCTGTGACGAGGGCCTTTCAAGACATGGCTATAAGACCTATGCTAAGGATGGCATAAAATATAAGACTGGCAGTATCTCCATATCCATGAAGCTAATATGAGAAGGGCACAAGCCTGCATCAGTCACTATATTTAGCAAGTTAACGCTAATAGTTAGATATTTCATATTCCGATTACTTTCAGTAAGCCCAGTCTCTGCACATGACTCCCATTTTGGTTCTTTTTTTGCATTTATTGCTAAACATAAAATTAAAGTAAATCTGTCTCCCCTTTCAGACATCTAATACAATGAGATATTTAACCAGCCTTGTATAGTTCCTAAAGAATGTAGAACTATTATACTTGCCACGCAATAAGAGTATTATTCAGCCATGCACAAACTGTCAGGATATCTAGTAGCAGCAGACAGACAAAATAGTGAAGAATTCACATAGGTTTCAGGAATCATTTGTAGATTTGTTTTTTTTTCCTTCCTTTTCTGTCTTCTTTCCTTTTTTCTTTTTTTTTCCATTTGTTCTTTACCACTAGACATTACTGTTCACAGTATGGAATGCTTCTCTTTAATTGTTCTAAAGATTTGTTACTGTGAAGATTTTTTTTTTTTTTTTTTTTTTTTTTTTATACTGATTGGAATTAATCTATAGTTTATATATACATTAATTGCAAATTTTGTATATTTGTCATATAATATAATGTAAATATATATATATATATCTATATATATATATATCTATATATATATATATATCTATATATATATATATCTATATATATATATATTATATATATATATATCTATATATATATATATCTATATATATATATATATATATCTATATATATATATATAATATATATATATATAATATATATATATATATATATATATCTATATATATATATATATATAATATATATATATATAATATATATATATATATATATCTATATATATATATATATATCTATATATATATATATATATCTATATATATATATATCTATATATATATATATTATATATATATATATCTATATATATATATATCTATATATATATATATATAATATATATATATATATATAATATATATATATATATCTATATATATATATATCTATATATATATATATATATGAATTACATCTTAGAAGTAAAAAGAAAATACATTCCTAATAAAGTTTCATGTATTGGACTTCTAGCTAGGCTCATATAAAGCATTTAAAAAGTCAATGTTTTATATTTTGCTATTCATCAAGAAAAGGACACACTTCTGATCTTATAATTTTAACTAAAATTCTCTGCAGTCATAATACTTATATTACTGAAGAAGTAAAAGAAAATTGACTTTGCAGATGCGGTCCATGCCAGCGTATTGCACCTGTCTTTGCAGACATGGCAGGGAGATTCCCCAATGCCGTGTTCCTCAAGATAGACGTCAACCAGTGCTCTGGGGCTGCTGCATCTCAGGGTGTGTCAGCAACACCAACATTCATCTTTTACAGGAATAAGGTTGGTAGTCTTCTCTCTCCTCTTTTCTTCTTTATTTATTTGATTTTTAGATAAGAAAATTCATTCAGCAACTGTATATTCTAAAAAGAAAAACGTTGTTGTTATTGTTTTTGTTTGTTTGTTTTCCTTTGTAACACCTAAAACTAACCCAAGATATGTTCCTTTACACAGACGAAGTTGGACAGCTTACAGGGCGCAGACCCAGAGACGCTGAAAGCCAGAGTGAGCCAACACTATGGGGACGGAGACAACGAGGAAATGGAGGACTCGGGTGTCCCTGGCCATGTAAGACATTTATGGCTTTCAGTATTGGGAAGAAACATGCTATAGTTTATATATACATTAATTGCAAATTTTGTATATTTGTCATATAATATAATGTAAATATATATATATATATCTATATATATATATATAATATATATATATATATATATATATATATATATATATATCTATATATATATATATATTATATATATATATATGAATTACATCTTAGAAGTAAAAGAAAATTGACTTTGCAGATGCGGTCCATGCCAGCGTATTGCACCTGTCTTTGCAGACATGGCAGGGAGATTCCCCAATGCCGTGTTCCTCAAGATAGACGTCAACCAGTGCTCTGGGGCTGCTGCATCTCAGGGTGTGTCAGCAACACCAACATTCATCTTTTACAGGAATAAGGTTGGTAGTCTTCTCTCTCCTCTTCTCTTCTTTATTTATTTGATTTTTAGATAAGAAAATTCATTCAGCAACTGGATATTCTAAAAAGAAAAACGTTGTTGTTGTTGTTTTTGCTTGTTTGTTTTCCTTTATGACACCTAAAACTAACCCAAGATATGTTCCTTTACACAGACGAAGTTGGACAGCTTACAGGGCGCAGACCCAGAGACGCTGAAAGCCAGAGTGAGCCAACACTATGGGGACGGAGACAACGAGGAAATGGAGGACTCGGGTGTCCCTGGCCATGTAAGACATTTATGGCTTTCAGTATTGGGAAGAAACATGCTATAGTTTATACATACATTAATTGCAAATTTTGTATATTTGTCATATAATATAATGTATATGTATATATATATATATATATATATATATATATATATATATATATATATATATATATATATATATATATATATATATATATATATATGAATTACATCTTAGAAATAAAAAGAAAAATATAACTGTACTATAATATGACTATAAAATGAATGGGTCAGTGAGGTCATATGAAAATTCAAACACAAAGAAATGCTCAACTTTTTTCTTCTTTTTCTTTCTTTCTTTCTTAAGAATATTGTGTACATTTCATCCTCTCAGTCAGTGATTATTAAGCTTGCCATAAATACTCATTACCATCTTCAACATTTCCATTCCTTTCCCTCCAACCAGATCGACCTCCTCCCCATGGTGAACAAAGCAGGTTGCGAGTGTCTCAACGAGAGCGATGACCACCCCTTCACGCAGGCACTCAACTCAGCCGGAGGTTACCTGGAGTCAGACACAGATGAGCAGGTTGGCTCAGTTTTCTTGGGTTAAGAATATTGTAGCAGTTCAGTGTGATAATATTTTTTGTGGATATATATTATCAACAGATAGATCAGTAGCTGATGTATCTAGATAGCAAGAGGAAAGAGGATTCTCTGTTCAACCAGAAAATAATAACATGACGAGAACAGCAATTTTATTCTTCTTGTCTCCCCCAAACAGCTCATCCTCTACCTCTCCTTTAACCAAGCGGTAAAACTACACAGTATGAGAATCAAGGCCCCAGCTGACTGTGGTCCCAAGACGATAAAGGTTTTCATCAATCAGCCGCATACCATCGACTTTGACACAGCGGAGAGTGCCAATCCCATCCAGGAGATAACGTAATTGTTACCTTTACTCTGAGTTATCTCTGTTTATGGTAAAGTACTATAATGGCTATAATTTACTTTTACAATAATAAACTTTAATTTTTTACTAATACAGCATTTCTTCTGCTCCCCTTTAGGTTATCTCCCAAGGACTTAGAAGGTGAATTAATTACTCTTAAATATGTAAAGCTGCAGAATGTGATGAATTTTACCATCTTCATTAAAGACAACCAGACTGAAGCAGAAACAACCCAGATATCATACCTGCAGATTATTGGTTCTCCTGTCCAGACAACCAAGATGGCTGATTTCAAGCGTGTAGCCGGCAAAAAGGGAGAGAGCCACTGAGATCTTCCAGTCCATTTTAGCAAAAAGAAATTTCAGGTCTCCATATTGAATTTGTTTAGAGTAAGATATGAAACTGTTTGGCCAACTACATGAATGGAAAGATTATAATTTTTTCTTATTGGCTAAAATTTAAAAATCAGATCTAGATAGTGAAATGGTAAAATTATAATCCTATTTTTAAAATTTTGCTGCCAATTTGTTTTTGTGTTAAAGAAATAAAACCATAAACATAAAAATAAACATTGATTTCTGTATCATGTACTTGGTTGGGATGGCGGAGAGTTCTTGGGGTGTATAACACAAGGAAAGGGTTAGTGCCTATTAAATTTTTAAGAATCAAAGAGGAATTGTACTCTGATGTGTCTGTGTGTGACTATAGAAGTCACTAGTTGACAAGGTTGTCTACTGTATCCTTTACAAGGCTTATTCACGCTGAACAGGTGCTTGAATGAAATATCTGTCTGTGTTTGTTGCACCAGAAACTAAGAAAAAATGGAGTATGGATCCTAGGTTTTCAATTTTGTTACCCCTTTGTTCACCTCCAACTTCTGTTGTAAGTCACAAGACAACTCGTTGCTCATTTTGATTTAAGTGCTTGCTGGTGGTGTTTTAGTGGTTGAGGCAAGTGATACATTCAAAGACCAGAAAAAGAGTAGTAATTAAGGAAGAAATATGCATATCGCAAACCACATGGGATCGAGGATTCAAATATTTCTCGTGGTACCTCTTACACCTTAAAGTTAATTTAGGAAAAGCATTGATATAATTTGATTATGAGAAAAGAAAAGTTACCACTAAATAGAATGACACACTTGATTTTACATGCTGTAGTTGTGCAAATTTCCCTCCCCCTCCTCACTGTTGTCTTTGTTTATTCAACAAATTGAGTAGGTCTCAAGATTACCAGCACCTTGGATTTTTTTTTTTTTTTTTTTTTTTTTGTAAAGGATTTGTTTATATTTATATAAATAACATTAAGTCAAGATTACCAGCACCTTAGAAATATATATACATTTTTCATTTTGTGGAAAAAATGGGTTTATAAAGTATATCTTGAAGCATCCAGAATACACACAGAAAGATACAAATACTAGAAAGGATTACAACTCCAAAAGCTGTAGAATAGTGGTAATTAGCGTATGATGCATGGGAAGTTATTGGAATTCTGAAGTCCACATTTTATTTATGAGGAGGGTAAGAGAGAGACTGTTCCCACCAGTCGGTCATCGTCCAAGACTGTTAAGCCTAAACATTTATTTTTACTTTGCTACAGATCTCTCGAGTGAAAGAGTGTATCTGTTCTTTTTCATCTACACGTTTTAAAGTGGTGGTTGATGCTCAACATTTTGCAAATGAAGACTTGATATACACACTATGCATCAACAGAATATCAAGAAACTAATTTAAACACTAGTCCAAGAGTATGTCAAAAGATAAATGGAAGACAACTGTACAATTCCTGCAATCAAGAGAATAAATGTCTTAGCTTTGAATATTTTTTCGTGTTTTGCCTTAACCTTTAAAAATGTTATTTTTTCGTGTTTTGCCTTAACCTTTAAAAATGTTAATGTTGCTTTTTATAATCCTTTTTATATCCCATTAGTAGTGTACTGAGAGAGGGCTTTTTATGTATATACTGTGATATTGCTATTGTTATGGTATACTTAAAAAAGATAAGTTACTGTATGCTCAACCTGTGGAGGTATAAAAGAAAAACCTGCAATAATTAAACTATACTGCCCAAAAATTCTCTGAATTTCCATATTATATTTTGTTAAAACTCTTAATATAAGTGGGCTTGTTTTCATTCTACATTTTATTACTGTTCATGCACATTTAAGAAGTACTTCTTAACATCTTTGTAAATACGACAATCAAGAGGGGTAAATAAATCAACATTCATACCTCAAACTTTATTTGGCAGCATAAAACTAAGACACAAAAGCCTACCAAGAGAAATGGAACTTATATACTTATTATTTTATTTGTCTAACTAATGGTGGTGTTCTAAGAGCAAAACAGAAAGTCTTTATTTGGCACTGTAAAGGGGAAATATTCTGGGTAATATTAAAATAGCTTTAGATACAGAGTACAGAATATGAAACGAAAATAAGAGTAATAATATATATTTATATATATATAATTATATATATATATGTACAATATTCTAACACTGGACAATAACAAACCAAAGAAACAAAAAATGCGTGATGCTACGATACGGGACATTATCAGAAAAGATTTATAGCTCTTGAGGCTAAAGGTACAAGGCCTTTGTGACTAATCTGACCTTGCTTGACCCCAGCTCAGATCAGGTCAAAAACTTCTGAAGTGTACAGCACTAGCTTAAACAAGATTGGGGTTTTGCAAGCACTTTGCCTCTTGGATGTTATACAATAGAAGTACTCTAGAGAAATGAAAAACAATGAGAAAAAAGTTTAATATTTATATATATAAACTAGCAGGGTTCATTACTATTTGTTTTTTATTTTTTGTTTTCTTCTAGCTCTATCTTGCCTGATACTATTAGTCCCCCCTCCCACCTCCCTACCCCCTATGCCTTCCTTTTCTACTTCGTCAAGCTAACAGTGACATGGGTAATAAATTTTGCTTTTTGATATTGTGTTAGTCTTTTTCCCATTTTTTCCCCCAATCCCTTCCGATTTGATTGCCAATCAAAGACAAAACACTAAAGATTTTTTTCCTACTTGTTGATCCCATGAAGACACATGACACATGAAGAAACCATGCATAGGTTTATACCATGCAAAATTATTACAAAAACAAACTATTTCCATTCATAAATTAGTAAACACTTACTAATATTGTCACACCAATCAGTACTTGATGTCAAATAAGAGCATTTACATATACCATCACACCACAAGTTAATATACATTCAAAACTATGATTGTTAATTCTTCAATTATTGTAATGATGCAATAAAAAGTCAAAATTGTTGAGTAACAATGATCATTTTACTTCACCCTGAATGTTTAAATTTCACTTTCTTTGTACTTCTGTACAAAACATGATCATAAAAAAATATTCATATTTTCCTGATGCACAATTGGCCAAAATAAATGACATACTCTTAATATCTCTGATTAACAAGAAAAAAGATACAACTTTAGCAAATATCACTTCAGTTGTTTTATGTGAACAAAAACTGTAATAAAAGAAAAATAACCCAAGTCAGAGCAGTAGTAATGACTCAATGAGGTCCAACAATCTGAAAGATTTGCTTCCTATCCTCCTAAGTACATCAAGTGTACCTTTAAGAACCCCCCAAGTTTCATAAATAAGAAATTTAAGATATTTAAAGTACAACAGATTTTAATTTCCAATGAGACCTGGAGATACTTAATTTGACAAACAAGATAAAAAAAAAAAAAAAAGGTCTTAGAAGTTTTGCCAAGAGCTCTCACATGCACGCACTCATGGGGGGAAAAAAGCAGTTGTTGCCATATAAACTTTGTGCATACACTGGCTGCAGGAGTCTCCAGTGACTCACCAGGAGCCAGCAGGAGGGTTGTTTTAAGGGAATTACGCTGATGGGAGGCAGAGTGGGAGATGCCAAGACACAAGGTATTTGCCCCTTTGCCCAATTTCCGTCAGACCTCTTGAACACACAATCTCGGTTATCATTGGTGTACTAATGGTTAATGGTGGTTATTACAATTTACCCTAATTATGTTGCAAATTTAGTGAAATCTAAATACAATCTTTTATCCTTACTGTTCATCCCACCATCCCTATGAAGAAACAATGCAAAAAAGAGGGAAGGCCGCAATCTTTTTCCTACTGAAGGCAAACACTCAGTCCCCTTGGCATCTCCCTTTCACACCCTTCGGACAAGGACAAAAGCAGCCACTACTCTATACGTCCACCTTCCCAGCAGGGGGACGCAAGGAGGAGGATACACACCAGCAAGGGTTATGGGTCTTCTCTAAGATGCTACCTCAAGGCGATTCAAAAAGCCGCAGCAAAGAGGTTAAGGGTTAAACACTTTCTTTTTTAATTATTAATTCTCTTTTCTCCTACTCCTTCTATTTCCTCTCTGATGACAGTTAACATCAATGCACCTACAAGATAAGGTTGTTAACAATTAAATACCATACATAGGCTTCCTTATACTTCCTCTGTATTCACCTTAAACAAACCTTTTTACACATATTCCCAACCTTCTGTAATGTATACAGTGAATTTTCCTTAACTTTCTTTCACTTTTCTTTTAAATAGATAGATTTTCATATCATTCTATGCTTCCACTGGGCAAATTCTTACCTTTCTAAAAGCCTATCAAACAAAACAGTTTCATAATTTCTGAAACAAATCTGTCAAACTGAAAAAGGAAAAAAAAAAAAGGCTTATCTAACCACAGCAGGCCAATAACAATTACCCCAAAGAATACAATGCTGATGTATTTTCTTCATCAACTATTGTGCTTTCCTTTTCTTTGAAGAAGAACGATTAAGCATGATGAATAAATTTCAACGATGACTTTACTTCTGACAAATAATATACCGATTGATGCATCAACTGTCTGATATGATAGATCGATGAACAGATGAATGGTTCCTCACAATATATACCTTATGCCTCAATAACTTTTTGCCTTTCACATACCACGTAACTACAGAAAGATCCCTATAAAGAAAAAAATCTATGTGACAGCTTTTTTTCTTTTTTTTACTTTCTTGTTTCTGCTACTTTTTGCATTTAAAGACATTTGTTGTGAAGGCTTTCGGATACTCTAAGCTCGTGCTTCAAGGCTTGGCAATCGTGTATAGTTACATGATTACACTTGAGAAGAATGGATGAGAGTAAAGAAAATGGGTCTTGTACAGAGCCCGGAACCTACAATTTCAAAAGCCTAAGAACATTGACTAAGCCAGGAAAGACCAAATCAAAACATATACATGTACTGAATTACACACCTGTTTAAGGCAATAAATTCAGTTCTCTCTTCAACATGCTTTTTCTTAAAACTCAAAAAAATACAATGTATATAAACATCAAAGAAAGAGCAAAAAATAAATGAATAAAGAGTAGTAAGGTTATACAAGTATACAAGATGCCAAAAACCAAATCAAAATGCTTGTGTTAGAGGTGATGAGAAAGGACAATTGTGTAGATACATATGTATAAATGTATACAAGCCTTCTAGTTTAACATGTGCACATGTATCTATATACATACAAATCATGTATGCATGTGTAATGCGTGTGCACTGAGATATACATGCATACATATATATTAACAAACATCATATATATGTATCAAAAGTTTTTTTTTTTTGTTCTTTTTATGTTTTTCTCTTTACATTTATTTATATAAGATATTTGCATCGCCTGCTTGGTCTGGACTTTACAAAACAATATTTTTCCTCCTTAAAAACAGCAAAGAAATGAAACCTTTAATTTCTCATATGCAAATTAGTTCACCATAATTCACCTCCACAATAAACTCACAAAGCAGCAGATTACACAAATCACACATAGGCCTCTTTTTTTTTTCTTTTGCATATTTTTATGCTTTTTTTAAAGTCTTTTTATATTTTTTTCAGTTTTGAAGAGGACAGCACATTTCTAGCTTGGACTGCACACTCTCTCAAGCAAATAATGCATACCATAATAAAATATCTAAAAATAATATGGGTTATAAAAAAATAATAATAACAATAAAAAAAAATAATAACACTAATATCAATAATAACAATGATTAGAATAAAGAATGAAGAAATACATACAAAAACAAAAATATATTAATGATAAAAAAATAATAACAATAATAATATTCATAACAATAACAACAACAATAATAATAACAATAACAATTATTATAATAATGATAATAATAACAATTATAATAATAATAATAATAATAATAATAATAATAATAATAATAATAATAATAATAATAATAATAATAATAATAATAATAATAATAATAATAATAATAATAATAATAATAATAATATTAAAAAAATAATAATAATAATAATATTAAAAAAATAATAATAATAATAATAATAATAATAATAATAATAATAATAATAATAATAATAATAATATAAAAACAAAAACAAAATAATGCCAAAACAAAGACCCTAAGCTGAAATCCACGCAGCCATTCAAAACCTTTTCCGCAGAAATACAAGCAACGCCTTGTTCAGGCATCATTGAGACATCTTAAACCGTTCAAGGAAGCTGCTAGTCTATAACCATCAATCAAAAAATATGTCAAATAAGTCATTCATAAACTTAAACAAAAATAATAATAATAATAATTCCATGCTCACACCATTTATATATTCGAGAAAAGAAGATGATTATATGGGTGTATGAGTGTATTCGAGTTCCCTTACTTTTCGGATAGATACTTGGAGAGGCTGCAATGTACCTTAAGGCCATAATCCAAGTTGGCAGATCTCTATTATTTCTTAATTGCTAGCATTATCAATTCACTTTCTTTCTCATTATTGACACATCA